TATCGCAGGTTGTTAATGAGTCTTCCTCCAATCCTGATGCCATGTTTTTCTTCATATAACCCAGCTTCTTGGATTATTTGCTCAGCGTACAGGTTGAATACAATCTTGTCACACACCTGTCTTAGTTTTAAAACATTCAGTGTTCCCTTGTTCTGTTCGAACAATTGTCTCTTGGTCCATGTACAGATTCCTCATGAGCACAATTCAGTGTTCAGGAATACTCGTACTTTACAGTGTTGTCAATAGCTTGTCATGATCCACAGAATCAAAAGCCTTTGCGTAGCCAATAAAGCACAGGTAAACATCTTTCTGATAATCTCTGCTTTCAGCCAAGATCCATCGGACATCAGAAATGATATCCCTCATTCCATGGCCTCTTCTGAATCCGGCTTGAACCTCTGGAAGTTCTCTGTCAATGTATGCTTGCAACCGTTTCTGTATTACATTTAGTAAAACTTTACTCGCATGGGGTATCAAAGAGATTATGTGATGATTTCCGCATTCCTTTGGGTCACCTCTCTTTGGAATATGAACAAAGATGCATCTTTTCCAATCAGTCGGCCAGATAGTTGTCTTCCATATTTCTTGGCAGAGATGAGTGCGTGCCGCCTCACTTTCTTGAAAGATTTCAATTTTTATTCCATCAATTTCTGGTGCCTTGTTCTTTGCCAATTACTTCAATGTACCTTGGACTTTTTCCTTCAGTATCATTGGCTCTTGGTCGTATGCTACCTCTTGAAATTGTTGAACATCAACCATTTCCTTTTGGTACAGTGACTCTCTGTGTATTCCTTCCATCTTCTCTTGATGCTTTCTGCATCATTCAATAATTTGCCCAGAGAATCTTTCGATAACGAAATTCAAGGCTTGAACCTTACCTAGGGTCCCCCCAAAAAACTGGCAAAATAGGGCGGAGCTAGCTCTGGCTTTTTGCCTCATCCCAGTAATGATCAATGATCACCAGCAATCAGCAATGCATCTTGATTGCATGTTTGATCAATTTCAGATTGAAGAAGTTGATAGAATTCTTCTGTTTCATCCTCACTGGCTTTAGTGGTTGGTGTGTAAATTTGAATAATAGTGGTATTAACTGGGCTTCCCTGTAGGCGCATGGATGTTATCCTGTCACAGACAGCGTTGTACCTCATGAGTGATCTGGATATGTTCTTTTTGACGATGAAAGCAACACCATTCCTCTTCAATTTGTCATTCCTGGCATAGTAAACCATGTTGTTGTCAGATTCAAAATAGCCAATACCAGTTCATTTCAGCTCACTAATGCCTAAGATATCGATGTTTATGCGTTGCATTTCAATTTTGACAACTTCCACTTTTCCCAGATTCATACTTTGTACAGTCCATGTTCTGATTTTCAATGGATGTTTACAGCTGTTTCTCTTCATTTTGAGTTGTGCCCCATCAGCAAATGAAGGCCCATGGGCTTTTCTCCCATGAGATTTACTCCATTCGCATCATCACGGTCAAGTCTACTTTGAGGAGGCAGCTCTTCCCCAGTTGCATTTTAAGTGCCTTCCAACCTGAGGGGCTCATTTTCTGGCACTATATCTGACAGTTGTTTTTCTGCTTTTCATAAGGTTTTCAGTGACTAAATATTCAGAAGTTGTTCGTCACTCTTTCTTCCTAGTCTGTCTTTGTTTGGAAGCTCATCTGAACCCTGTCCACCATGCGTGGACTCTGCTTGTATTTAAAATACCGGTGGCATAGCTTCCAGAATCACAGCAACTCACAAGCCACTACGGTAGGATAAACTGACAGACAGGTCAGTTTAGATCAATTTTTTTTTTTTTTTTTTTAAATTAACTCTCTTTAAATGAAATAAGAAGCTCTGTAGCGTAGTGGTTACGAATCGGGCTGCGAACCGCAAGGTTGGCAGTTCGAAACTACCAGCTGTTCTGCAGGAGAAAGATGAGGCTTTCTGCTCCCGTAAAGATTTACACCCTCAGAAACCCTGTACAGGGTCGCTATGAGTCGGAATCGACTCCACGGCACATAACAACAACAACAACAACAAATGAAATAATATTATGAAATAATTTGGGGGAATTAGAAAAGGATCACTACTTAACATATTAGGAAGTGACATTTGGAATTGTAATATTACATTAAAGTGATCCACTCTTACTTCCTGTTATAGATAAAATTCACTTCAGGAAGGTGGTAGATTGTTGTGGTACTTACATATTGCTGCCTTGCAAATTACCCACAAATTAAGTGGCTTAATACAGTTATGGATGTTTATTATTTTACTCAGGACATTTATTATTATTCTCAGGAATTTGAGAGGTTGCCGGCACCTGAAGGTTTGGGTAAATTCATCCAATCTGTTCTTGAGATGCTCTTTATATTCAGGCAGGATATATTCAGCATCATATAAATCTTGGCTCTCGTGGGTTTGTTTTAATTTTCTTCAGCTTCAGCCTGAAGTTACATAGGGGCAATTGGAGGTCAGTTCCATAGTCTGCCTTTAGCCTGTTTTTGCTGATACTTGGGAGCTTTACCATCGTCTCTTTCCACAGATGTAATCAGTTTGGTTTTTGTGTATTCCACCTGTTGAGGTTCATGTGTATAGTTGTCTTTTATGTTGTTTAAAAGAAAAGAGATATTTGCAACAAAAAAATCATTAGTCTTGCAAGACTCTTATCATGCGATCTCCAGCGTCATTTCTATCACCAAGGTCATTATTTTCCAACGACTGATTCTTCTTGTTTCCAGCCTTTGCATTCTAATACATTTGACAGCAGGCTTGATTAATTTAAAACTGAAGAAGTAGGTAGAATTTTTTAGTTTTCCCATCACTTGCTTTAGTGGTTGGTGCATAAATTTCAGTAATAGTTTTATTAGCTGGCCTTCTTATGTTGTTGTTGTTAAGAGCCGTTGAGTCGGTTCTGACCCATAGCGACCCTGTACAGGGTTTCCAAGGAGCAACTGGTGAGCTTGAACCACTTACTTTGCAGTTCAAACGACTTTGCAGTCTGTCGCATTAGCTCACAGCCTCACACCAGGAATCTAGGTCTTTGACATATAAATATTATCCTATCACAGACAGCCTTATACTTCAAGACATATCTTGATGTGCTTGTTGACAATAAATGCCAGATAATTCCTCTTGAGTTTTTCATTCCTAGCATAGTCAACAATACAATTTTCTGATTCAAAATGGCTAATACCAGTTCATTTCAGCTCCCTAATGCCTAGGATATTGATGTTTATGCATTTCATTTCATTTTGGACAAGTTTCAATTTTCCTAAGTTCGTACTTGGTACATTCCATGTACCAACTATTAATGCATGCTTGCGGCTGTTTCTCCCCTTTACTTCATTTGCATCAGCATGGTCAGCTCTACTTTGAGGAGGCAGCTCTTTTCCAGTCGTATTTTGAGTGATTTCCAACCTGAGGGCCTCATCTTCCGGACCTGTATCTGACAGTATTCTGGTGCTATTCATCATGTTTCAATATTCAATATTCTGCTCTGACAGTGTTTCACTGCTACTTACAATGTGGCTAAACATTCATAAATAGCCCACTTCTCCTTCTGAGTCTGCCTTAGTCTGGAAGCTCAGCTGAAACCTGTCCACTATGGGTGACCCTGCCGGCCTTCAGAATACCAGTGGCAAAGCTTCCAGGATCACAGTAACAAGCAAGCCACCAGTATGACAACCTGACAGTGAGTGGTAGCTTTGGAAGTTACACCCTATCATTCTGTCACCTTTTCTTCATTCATTCATTCATTCAGAAAGTTCAGCTCTCTCTTTTCCTTTTGGAAAAACAAACAAGATTCTCAAAGAGTTTGAAGACATTTGAAAATTGCACTGGTGTGTTCACTAGTTTTGATGTTGTTAGGGGCTGTTGAGCCATAGTGATCTTATGTACAATCGAGCAGAATACTGCCCGGTCCTGCCCCATCCTCACAGCTGTCCTTATGTTTGAGCCCATTACTGCTGCCGTTATGTCAGTCCATGTTGTTGGGGGTCTGCCTCTTTTTCACAGACCCTTCACTGTACTGCATAGGCTGTTTACCTATGCACTCTGAGGAACTTGTCTGAGAAGTCTAGGGCACATTTCTAAACA